AGGTGTACCTCCAGAAAAGGCAGAAGGAGTAAACCTCAGCTCGCAGGGGACCCCCTCGTGACCTCCTGGCCTTCCTGCACCTCTTCTCCAGGTTCCACTACTGGGACCTGGGCTGGCACCCCTCGTCGTCTCCCGTGCCAGCTGGCTAGGGACTCCTCCCCGCCCCTTGCTGCCCTCTGTCTGTCCGGCTGGCCTGAGCAGGCTGGGACGGGCTCCCTGCCGGGGACACTCCTGCCCCGCCACCGCTGACAAGTGCTGACTTTTCCTCCCCCTCTCCAGGCCTTCCTGAACAGGCTGCCTGTGTTCAGGGCTGGGAGGGGCTGGGGGGGGGGAGGCACTAGTGACGCCTCTCATCCTGGCCAGCGTGGACGCCTTCAGGGCAGGGATGGAGCCTAGGATGGCGGAGTTGGCTGCTGGACCCACTGGATCTTCACAGGCCGCCTCTACCTGGCCTGCAGGACCAAGGTCCGCAAGGATAGGATGGCCTAACCCACCCGTATGCCTGGTCAGCAGAGTAAGATCCCGCCAGGTCTCACCGTCGCATGAGGCCGGTCCCGGAATTGGGGTTCTTTAGGGTTTGGACGTTTCCAAATGTCTTTGTGAATCTGAGGTGAAACCCTGCTCTCTTGTCCAGTCACACTGCATTTTGCAAACCACTTCAGTGGGTCTGCAAACCCCCCACGCCACGCTTTCTTAATCCCAGGGACTCTTTCCCTGAAAGAGCTGCCTTCCTGGTGTGGTGGCTGGACCAGGGAGTGTCCCCAGAAGGCCCACAACAGGAATCTGGGGGAGGCCGCTTGACGCCTCATTAAAACATTCCGAAGAAAACCCAAGTTCCCGGGAGGGCTCGGCCCCCCTCCTCCCGCTCTGTCCACAGGCCGTTCCCAGAGCTGGGGTGCATGGGGGGGGGTGTTTAAGGGCAGGTGATAGAAAAACCTTCAACAAATCAATACAAAATGACAAATAACCCATAGAAAGATAAGTAACGACTCTGGACAAGCTCTTAGAAGAGGGACAATAGACCAACGGAAAGTCAAAAGCTCACCGGTAATTGGCAAGAGACACCATTTTTCGCCTGTCAGAATGGCAAAGGTGGCACTACCCTATGAGACAGGGTTGTTGGGGGAGACCCTCCTGCTCACTGCTGGCATTGTGAGTAGCAACCCTCACAGACAGGCTTTCTAGAGGGCAGTGCGGCCGTGTCCAGTAAAATAAAAAACGTGATGTGCTTCAGACCCAGCAATGACAGAATCTAGAAATACCCTACAGGGAAACCGTCACGCAGGGGCACAAGATGGCATTTCCAGGAGCTTCCCCGCCACCATCTGGAATCACACGCGCGCACACACAAAAAAGTATGCAGGAAAGATCTAGAGGTACCTTTGTAGATTTTGGAATACTATGCGCCATTAAAGAAAACAGATTTATATTTACTGACAAGAAGATCTCCAGGACACACTTTTGAGTGAAAAAAAAAAAAAAAAAGCACACGGCCGAACCTTACCTACAGACAGATACCATTCATTTAACGACACACAGAAAACAACAGAAAAGACTGTCTGCTCTATATGGACACAAAAATCTTTGGGAAGATTTGGTATCTTTTGGAAATAAACAGAAAAAGGTCTGGGAGGATATCCCCATCCAGAGTGTTAAAAGTGGTTTTTTCTACGGGGCACCTGGGTGGCTCAGTGGGTTAAAGCCTCTGCCTTCGGCTCAGGTCATGATCTCAGTGTCCTGGGATTGAGCCCCGCATCAGGCTCTCTGCTTGGCAGGGAGCCGGCATCCCCCTCTCTCTCTGCCTGCCTCTCTGCCTACTTGTGATCCGTCTCTGCCAAAGAAATAAATAAAATCTTTAAAAAAAAAAAGTGGTTATTTTCTAGAGGAGCACTGGGACTTGGGAGTCATCAAGGATGAATTCTGTTTAATCTGTATTATATGACTCTTTTATGAGAAAGAACATATTCAAGTATTAGTTCAATTAAACACAAGAAAATAAAAGTAAAACAACAGAAGGATTTTATGAAAGAAAGAAACAAAGAAACAAAGGAAGGAAGAAACAAAGAAAGAAAGAAAAAAAGGAAAAGGAAGCAAAATTTAAAAAAACCCTGCAGTGGGACATGGAGCTCTCCTGTCAGCACGATTCCCTGCCTCGCTTTGGAGGAAGAAACTCGGTGTGAGAATGAGAAGACCTGGGTTCAAGTCCCACCTCTGCCACAGGAACCTCAGGGCCTTTTCCCATAAAACGGGTGGGTGAAAGGACGTATTGAGAAAACATTTATGACGGTTTCTAGCTCAGAATCGGAGGACAGTCATTGTTCAATACATAGTGGTTCTTTCTGGTCTTTAAAAGAGGGCCGGTGGCCACACTGGCCCCGGAGCAGGGGAGGGGCCCCCTATACTCTCAGCCACCGCAGTCCTTTCTGAGTCGGACCCGAGGTCACAGCTCTACGCTCAAGGCCCACCCCCCATGCAGACCTGCTTCTTCTCCCACTGCAGTTTCTCCTTTACATGTGTGTGTGCTGGGGGCGTCCTTAGGATGAGGCACCTCCAAGGACAAGACCACCTGTTCGCCCCCTACTCACAATCTGTGCGTCCATCCCCTCCTTCAAAATTCAGCCCACAGCTACTATTCCTTGTAAGGACAAGATGGACTGGCTAGCTGAGTGTGGCCACAGCCGGTGTCCTCCCAGCAGGACGCTCTTTGGTCCCGAACCCTGAGGTCTCTGGAGGTGTGAGCCTGCTCCTGGGGCTGCTGGGCAGGCAGCACACAGGTTTGGTGACAGGGGCTATGGGCTGAGTTTGGTGGGGTCGGTGGGCATCAGCACAGATCTGGGTGTGAACGGCAGCCCCTGGGTTCAAAAGCAGAAACTGGCGGCTGTCAGTCTCCCGCTGGTTCCTCTTGAGCCCAGGGAGCACACAGGGTATGGGGTGATCCTCAGGCCACATCCTCTAGCTGTAAACCCAGGGAAGGTCCAGTGTATACACGGCCTGAACCTCTAGACACTGACACCCTAGCAAGGTCTCAGGGCAGACCCCGCCGTGGTATCCCTCCTCCAGCCCGGCCTTCAGACCTGAACCATGGCTAAGGGAGGCAAATTCTTTGCACATGCCTCAGCTTCCCCAGAAGTAAGTGTGGGGCCCTGGGGTGGCCCATGACCCCCTCCCCATGGAGACACAGGGCTTAGCACTAGACCGGCGTGCAGTACAAAATGATCATAGGGACTGTGTGCTCCAGATTACTTTAAAATGGGAACGATAGCAAAACCTTTTTTAGAGGGTTGTGGGAAAGATGAAACTAATACTGTAAAGTGCTTGGGACAGTGTCTGGCAAGTAGAAAGCACTAAAAAAGCATTTATTAAATAAAAATAAACAACAGACCTGGGGGCACATGTGTTCACAAATGCACACGTGCACACACACACACACACACGTATGCACGACTATGCTCCTGCAAGTCACGTGAAGACCCAATGCTTCGGACACGTGTGTCTACAGGGGACACACGCTCACACGGACCTAGAGAACAACCTATGCAGAGTCCCAGCGAGCCCCGCTCTGACACACAGACAGCTCTCAGCACACTCATGCCCATTGTCCTTCCTGTCTATCCCAGCCTGGCCCAAGGGGAGGGTGGGGAAATGGCTCCAGGTCCTTGCATGTACTTTTGCATGAGTCTCTGAGCCTCAGTTTCCCCATCTACAAGTCCTCGTATGGGGTGAGGTCTCTGGCTTCAGGGAGCCAGGGTCGCGAGGGCACGGGCACCAGGGAATGCGGCATGTTGAGGTCCCAGAGGAGAAGAGAGCCTCACTCAGGGGATTCTTAGGCAAAAGTTCTTGCTGTTTTTTACAGATAGGGAAACTGAGGTGTGGAGGATAGCCCCGGTCCTATGGGCCTTGGAGCTGGAGGAATCCCAGAACTCCTGCCTTCCCACCTCAGGTTCTGCCTGGGGTGGAGGGGGTGGAGCTGGTCAGGAGAAGGGGGCTGCATGGCTGCCTGCTCGTTTCTCTAGAAGGCAGAAGCCCCCACCTGGGAGCTACTGGGGAGGAAGCAGGGGCCTTGAGGTCGGACATACAGGCAGACAGCCTCCTCAGCTACGGGCTAGTCCCGTCTGATTGACTCCCCATGTCCTGGCCCCCAGTTTCTGGCCCAGGAGGAAAAGGATGCTTTCCTCCATACCTCCAGCTCTTGGCTTCTGCCAGTGCCTACTTTTCTCTGCTATTCTTGGTCTGTCTACTCCTGCTCTGAGAAGCTCTCATCTCCACCCCCCTTTGTCTCTTTTCTCTCTCTTGCCTTATCTCCCAATCTGCCTCTTCTTCTCCCTCTGGTCTCCCTCTTGGCTCTGCTCTCAGGAGGGTATACATGGGGGTCCCTCACTCACCAGAGTCCCCCTCCAGCATGTTTCTCCTGGAGGAGTGTCCTGTGAGGTCAGTCCCCTTCAGGAGACCTCCATCCTTCTTCCGTGCCACACCACAGCCGCCTCCCTGGGCAAGGGCGTCCACATGTTTGCACGCATGTGATCGTGAGAGCTGGAGGGGACCCCTAAATCCTATCCCCTGCCTGGGTGATTCTGAGCTCAGACCCACAGCCCTGTGTCCTGGGTGGCAAACAAAACTTGCAGAAGACACAGGCCCAGGAACAAAGTCTGTGGGACCCTACATCAGGGCCAAAGCCCAGGCTACTGCTAGATCACACTGTCATCCCTAAAGGGGACACAGCCAGAGTAGCGGTGCTCACAGAAGCAGAAGATAGAGGAACCCCAACCACAGATTTCCAGACCTGGGATCCCGAACCCAGGCTTCAGAACTAAGAGGACCATAGGCATCAGGAATGAAGTCCAGACACCCCAGAGACAGCTGGCACCCAAGCTCTCTGGTCCGAGGCGACGCTCATCCAAAGTTCGAATTACTCAGGGAACCTAGACTCTGTGCCCTGGATCCACCCCAGGGACCACAGAGCAAGCCCGCAGCCTGTCCTGGAGTGCGGGCGAGGGACTTACCAGCGCGTATGCGGAGCTGAGCACCGGGCAGCAGAGCAGGAGCGCCAGGCCGGGCGCGATCCGGACGGCCCCCATCGCCACCGCCTAGGGCCCCGTCCCTCGGGGCAGCCGCCGCCGCCGGCCCTGGTGGTGGTGGTGGTGGGGTACAGAGCTGCGTCAGGCCGGGCTGTCCCGCCCACGCCCGGGCCTAGGGGACCCCGGAGGCCAGGCGGCCCGAGGCCCCGGGGCCCGGCGCGGGGCCCATGCGCCAAGGGCTAGCGAGCGAGGGAGCGCAAAGGAGAAAGAGAGGGAGGGAGGAAGGGAGGCAGCCGGGGGCCGGGCGGGCGGCGGGCGGGCGCCGAGCGCTGCGGAGCTGCCCGTCTGCCTCGGAGCGGAGAAATCACATCCATATGGCCGGGCCCCCCGCCCCCGGCCCGCCCCCCGCCCCCCCCACCGCGCCGCCTTTTCTGTCTTTTTCTTTTTTTCTTTTGGGGAACTGGGAGCTGTGGCTTCGCCCCACGCCCAGTGGGGGAGGGGTCGGGGGAGGGGTTGGGGTCGCGGTCTGCAGGGGGCGAACCGGGCTGTTATTTTTAGCTTCGCGGCTAGCTCAAGGACGGGATGGGGGGCGGGGCGGGGGGCGCGTTTTGAGCCGCTCGGGGCGTGCAGCTTAGGGACGCGATCCCAACTTTGCAACGACACTGAGCCCTTCGGTGCTCGGGCCGCCAGCTCTCTGCCCCTCAGCCCCCTCGGACCCATCCTGTCCGCGGCCGCTTCCCGAATCCTCTCCCCATCCTGGGCCGGAGCCCCGCCTGCGCCCGCGCAGCTGAAGCACGCCTGCGGCCGGGACGCTCTGCCTGTCGGCCTGTCAGTCCGTCTCTAGCTCCCCCAGCCTTGGCCTCCGTTCTTCCAGCAGCCCCGAGCTCCGTTTCGGTCACTCCCTCGCTCCCTCCCTCCCCTCCCCCTTCTCTCTCTCTCTCTCTCTCTACGAAAACATTTGCAAGTTTCCAAAAAAGCCACGGAGCCGAGCGGCGCGGGGCTGGCGGCTCCACCGGGCTCCGAGGAGGCGCCGCCGACTGACACCGAGACGGACCAGCCCGGCCGCCCCGGCCAGGCCCGGAGTCACCCCTACCCAACGCCGCCGCCACCCCCTCCCCGGGGCGCCGGTCCCCCGACCCCGACTTACTTTGAGCGCGCCGCCGCGGCCCCCGCTTAGCCATGGATGTCGGGGACCCCCCGACAGCCTCCCCAGGACAGCGCCCCGTCCGCGGCCCCGGGGGCACTTCATGGGGCTCTCGGGATCCCCTCTGGCCGGCCTGGCCTCCAGCACCCCCCGCCCGGCCGCCGCTCAGAGCCGCCGCCCGCCGCGCGCGTCCCTCGCCTCGGCGTCTGCCGCTCCCCCTCCCCCCGCGGCCGGGCGCCTCTTCCCTCCCCCGCGCCCTCCCTGGGCCTCTCCCGCCCCCGCCCCCCCTCCCCCGCGCCGCCTCCGCCACGGGTGTGCGGAGCCGCCGAACGGAGCCCGCTGCCCCTGCCCCTGCCCCGGGACGTTTCTCTAGAGGCCGCGCCCCGGGTCGCCAGCGGCGGGATGTGAGTGTGAAGGGGACGGGGCCAAGGGAGCTCTGACATCGGGGCCCGGGAACGGAGCCCGGGACGCTGCCGCCGCTCCATTCTCTTCTCCGGGAAGCACAGACGTTATTTTTTCTGATCGGCCTGCCGGGTTGGGTGAACAGGGGCCCTCAGCCGCGAAGCAGGACCTCTTCACCGGAGGTACCCCGCGCGCCCCCGGCCGCGGCGCTGTGTGTGCGCCCGCGCGACTCCCGCTCGGGCTGGACCGGGGTCCCTGGGGAGGCTGCTGGGCCCCCAGCCCCGCGCCCGGCTCGGCCGCCACCGCCCTCCTGCCCCGCCCCGCCCTCGCCTGGACCCCCAGCCTCGGGAACTCCCGAGTGGGTAGGTCCGCAGTGCTCTAGACCCGCCCCTGCCCCTGCCCGCGAGGGCTCACGTCCCTCTCCCACCCTCCCGAGTCTCTCCCCGGGTCGGGGGTCTCTCAGAGTCTTCGACCCTTCCAGACGCCTGCCCGGCCTCCCCAGCTCCGCCCCGGAGTCCGCCGCTCCAAGTCGCCAGACCCGGGGCTCAGCCGGGACCCCCGCTCCCGAGATCCGCCTCCTTCTCCACCCCCTCACAGCCCCAAACACTCCCGGCCGGCGGGCTCTGGTCCACCCGGGACCCTCAAGTTGGGGGAGGAGCGAGAGGAGTCTTTGGGGGCAGGGGCGGGGTGGGGCGGGGTTACGTGCTCCGCCTCGGGAGGGGACGCTGTTAGCGCTTAGAGGAAGGGGTCTGAGACCCCAAGTCCGCCACCTTTCAGGATCACGCAGAGAAGCTGAGATGCTGGGAAGGCCTGGGATGCCTGGAGCCGAGGGCTTTCAAGGATGGTCAGGAGGAAGCTAATGTGACTCTTGGGGCCGTTAGATATATTATCTGGGCTAAGTGGCAGTCCCTGCTCACCCACTTACCGGTTGTGTATCCTGGGCAGGACGACTTCCTGCTGTCTGGGCCTCAGTTTCCTCATCTGTAAATCGGGGACTTGACCAGCTGATTCAAAGGGCGCTTTTAACTTTACTGTTTTAGTGCTGCGGAGTGTGGGTGTCCAGACCCATGGGCTCTGTGGGCTCCCCAGACTCAGCCTGTGGAAATTGAGCTCCTCACAGCCCCCAAACCAGCCCCCACCCCATCTCAGGGATGGTCCCTACCCTTCATGTGAATGGATCTGCAAGCCTAAGGCCTAAGGCCACTGGAATCCAGCTCTAGCCAGCTTCTCTGGCAGCCCACCTTCTTCCAGGCCCAAAGCCCACCCATCTCCCATACACAGTTGTCTGCTTCCCTATGAGTCTGTGGCCACATCCTCCTCTGTGCCCCACTACTTTCAAGTTTCTTGCCCAGGTGATTAAGGGCGATGCTGTCTGAGGCAGTTTCCTCCAGAGGTGACACTCCCCAACAGGTAGTGTCCTCTCGACTCCCGACCTGCTCCCCATGTTCACTCCCCTGCCCTTGCCTTTGGAGTTTACTCTGCTGGGATCATGGTTCTCTGCCTGGTGTAAAGAACATCCCTCCCTCTTTTTTTGTGTGTGACCCCATCTCTTCCACTACTTGGGGGGGCTGTGATTTGGGGGCTACCCCCTGTGGTGTGTGGATTACTTGGGAACAGGGACAGAGGATCAGGTACCCAGAGAACATCTGTGGTTCTTCAGTGTTACATTTTGATGGTCTCTGTTTTATGTCTCTGTTTCCAAGCCATTCTACTCTGTTTTATGGCTTTATGACTGATCACCCCTGCCCTGTGGTGATAGGAAAAGAAAATTCATAGAGTCACTGGGGCAACTGGGGTAAAACTGGGGACTGATGTAGGGAGTCCTCAGATCCGATACCGGAAAGCTTGAGATTGGGAAACAAACAGTATTTGTAGTGGGGAGGACCGGGGTGGAGGGGTGTGGGTAGGGCTGCAGAGAGGGGTCCAGTGGGCTGTGGGGCCCTTAAGGGTGCTCTTCTAGCTGTAATGCATGTGCCTCACCCCAGAGGTCCCTGACGGATATTCCAGAACTGTTGGCTGAGGCAGATACCCTAAGGCACCTCCTGGCCCCTGGTTAAAGTGCCACCATGGGGATTGGGTGTCGCACATTAACTGGTAGCACCCCAGTGCCTGGCAGAGCCAGCCAGCCTTTTTGTCAGACAAGCCCCAGGGCCCCAAGGGTCAGTTTCTGGTCAGTTTCAGGTTAGTTTCAGGGACATTTGAAAAGGCCTGATAGGAGGGAGGGAGTCCCCTATGGGGACACCCATCTGTAATGGGGACCTAGGAGGAAAAGCCAAGATCCCTGGAGCTCAGAGCTGGAGCAGGATCTGGGCTCTGGCCCAGTGGCCCTAAACTGGACTCTGCTGCTGTGAGTAGGGGTCTGGCAAAGCTATACAGACCCTAGAGCCAGGGTGGGCCCCAGACTCAAAAAGGAAAGACAGAGGCTCAGCTCTCAGCCCTGCAGCCTGGCCTCAAGACCCTCAGAAAACCCCTTGTCCCGTTCTGGGGATTCTCTGGAAAAACTGGCCTGTAAACCCTCAACAGTTCATCTCCCATCCTTAGCCCCAAAGTCAGCTTGAATCCCCATCTCAATCCTAATCCCATCCTGAGCTCCCCCCCACCCCCAATGTGGAGACTTTATCCCAGTCTGACCTCTAATCCCTGGCTGAACCCTGACCCCAGGTTGAGCCTCCACCAAGCCTTAATCCCAGACCTCTCTCTGGTTCCAGGCCCCTTTGGAAGCTTTTCAAGGCAGGGGGCTGGTAGGGGAGGGGATGGCCAGGCCATCAGTGAACCGAGGTGCCACTTTTATAGCCATTTCGGCTGCTCATAAACACCCCCCACCCAGATGAGTCACTGGAGGCTCCCACAGCAGCTGGTCGGGCAGCCCCCTCCCCTTGCAGCAGGAAGCCTGGTTTTCTCACCTCTCAGGAAGGCCAAGGGAGGGAAGCTGGGGGCACAAGGGGCCGGGAGGCTCTGTCCGAGGCAGGGAGCACTCCGGGGGCACCTGGAGGTGTGGGCTTCCTGTCACAGACTCCCTCCTACAGTAACACCAGAACCACAGACATCCCCATGCAGGCATGCCTTGTTGGCCCCACAGCGTCACACAGGTACACACACCCACACACACACCCACACACACACACACACACACACACACACACAATGGGGTACTGTGGCCTTGCTTTGCCCCTCCCGGCTGCATTCGCGTCCCAGGCTTGCCTTGGACCCCACTCACCTAGAGCCCACAAGGTCTTCCAAGCAGGGCCTGGAGACTCAGAGCAGGCTCAGGTTGGCCATGGAGAGGCCATGGATGGTTCTAGCAGCTTCTGGGGCTCAGGCCTAAGCAAGGATGTTGCCGCTAGGGACAGGAAAAGGCCTGAGTGAGAGCTTTTGGTTGAAAAGAATAATTAGTTATTTTTTACCAAGCCCTGCACCAGCCCAGGACTTTGTCCCAGACCCCTAGTGGGGGAGAAGAGGCAGGTCCAAGTGTTCGGTGCCCTGAGCTGGGCCCTCCCCCACCTCCATGGGTGTGCTTGACAGGTGCCCAGGCCCGCTTGGTCCCTCCAGTGGGGGTGTGCCTCAGTGGTCCTCTCCTGGCCTTACCAAGCCTGTCTCCAGCTAACTCTCCTTCTATCTATTCCTGTGTCCCTGTCTGCCCCTCCTGGCTTTTCCATGTCTCAGAAATTTCAGGCCCCATGAGGTATGAACACAGCTACTATGAGTGATTTCATTCATGTTTGGGACACCTGAAGAAATCAGATGGAGGCTCAGGGTAGCTCATACCCAGATCATAGGCGGAAAAACTGAGACCCGAGAAGGCCTCCCCTCTCAGTCCTGGGTACTAAACGTTCCCAGGGCGGGGGACATGTGGGGACACTCATTCCAGCCAGCCCCTGTCCTAACCCTGCAGCCCCAAGGCCACTCTGTATCTGACTCCTTGCCCACTGGAATGTGGGCTCTTGGCGTGAAGCCAGCCAGTGACACCTGGGCTCAGGGTCCGCATATGCAATTACAGGTCTCGGAGGCAGAGGGCTATGGCCAGGATGACCTGCCTTCCTCCGTGGTTCTGTGGAATGGGCTGCAACAGAACCAGGGCTGGGTCCAGACACCAAGAGTGAGGATGCAGACAGAGGGAGGAGGCCCTGCGAGGTCCTGGCACCTCACCCCAGCACCTGGAGACCCTGGCTGGAGGCTGCCCTTCCGCCGGAGCCCAGCCGGAGCCGGTTTGGGTCTGGAAGTCCCAGGCTCAGCCTGACGAGGTGTAATGATTCACATGGCAGCTGCTGCTCAGCACATTCCAGTCGGAGCCCCCAGTGCCCGGCACGTGAGGCGGCGGGCCCCAAACCAACCCCCAGCAGCTAGGGCACGTTCCTAGGGCGTCCATCCCTTGGGGGCCGCCCTTCCCCAGGTCTTCCAGGCTCCTGGGGAGGGCAACATACTTTACAGTTTCCAAAGTACTTTCTAGTACATTCCCAGGCTGGAGAGGGAGGCAGAGAGCCTGTCCATCTCTGGCCTCCAGGTGGGGGATATGAGGCTGAGGGAGTAGACCGGGCTGGTTGGGGGGGATGGGGTATAGGGGAGTGGGGGCCTGGAGTGAGGCTATGACAAACAAGCATTTACGGGGTTCCTGTCCCCTCCCATGCTGGGCTGCTCCCAGGTGTGCAGCTCCAAGGGGGGGGCCTGAGCAGATAGGCCATTCTGTGACCAGTGCCAGTGGGGGGACTAGATTTCAGCTTGACAACTCAGTGGGCAATAGTGACCAAGGGGAAGCGACTCCTTCGCCCTCTCTCCAGCCTGTTACTTGCTGACCCTCCACTCTTGCAACCTCTCCCTCCTCTGAGCCCCCACATGCTCCCTTGGGAGCCCTCACTGGCTGGGGGAAGTGGGAGGCTGGGGGGCTGTTCTGCCCTGACCTGTGGGGTCCCCTTCCTGCTCATGGCCTAGGTTTCCTGATCTGCCATTAACAGATGGGCAGTTCAAGGTTTGAAGGGGCTCCATCAAGGGTCCAGGTCCTTGGGGCTTGGAGGCAGACATGTGACTCTGAAAACCTGAAGTCCTCTCTGGACCCCCACCCGGTGGGCCTCCGACGCTGGCCAGGCTGTGTTCCTGCAGTGAGCCCCAGCCCAGGGCTCTGAGGGGCGAGCCTGGCCCTCAGCTCCGGGGACGGGAAGTTGTATTTTGGTCCTGGGTCCTGGGGAAGGAGGCAGGGGGAGAATGGCAGCTCAGACCCAGTCATGTTTACTCGGGCCCGGCCCCCTCTGAGCTCAACAGGCCCATTCATTGGGAGCCCCATAAACCCTTCGGGGCTCCCTGAGGTTCAGAGTGCCTGGACGCCAGATCTAGCTGCTGCCCCCAGACCTGATGGAGAGGGGGTGAGGTGGAGATGGTCTCAGTTGTGCCTCAGTTTCCTGACCTCTCCGTCGTCAGAGTCATGGTTGTGGCCTGTGAATACGACAGAGCAGTTGAGAAAATCGAAGGGGGCTTCATGGCTGTGTCCCATCATACCAGGTTTCTGAGAGAAGCTCCTCAAATCCCATGGCCTTCAAGGCAAGCCCAAGACCCCACACCTGGCCCTGGGGTGAGTGCAGATATGCATCTCGCTGCGGTGGATGGAGTCCCTTGTTCTCTCCCGCATACGTGCCATCTTCAGGCTTCCCACTCTGCTTAACCAGAGGGGTGTCAGGTATCGGGAAGGGAGGCAGCGGTGGCTTTTGCTCAGTGGGAAGAACCATGGCTTGGGGGTCTGAGTGCTCCCCAGCTCCCTGGTGACCTTGGAATGGTCCCTTCTTCACTCCAGGCTTACCAGCCCCCCCACCCCACCCCATCCCACCTATGTTGGTTGGGGTTGGTGTGGACATGCTCCCAAATTCTCCTGAGCCCTACGGTTCCCATGCTAGGCAGCTGAGTGGGGAGCTGGTGGTGGGGAGGGGCGGCTAGGAGCAAACCCTCCCAGCCCAGATGCCTCTCACAGCGTCCCCGCTCGCCTGGGCAACCTGACCGACCTCTCCGGACCCTGGTTGGTGGGGAGAGAACGGAGTCTCCTTTCCCAGACGCCTTCCGGGTGGGGTGTGACTTCCTGCTCTAGTGGTTGTAAAATCCCCTGAAGCCTGGTGGGTCCCTGGGGGGGAGGGTGTCTGTGCCTCGGAATACCCCCTCCCAGGCGTGTTTGACACGTGTTTCCTCCTCTCCCAGCATGGGCTCCCGCTGCTGCTATTTATAACTTTTAAGAGCTCCTGCCGACTGCAAAGTTTTCTTAAACTCAAAATATCACCGAGGTCCTGGGCACGCGTTCCAGAGGCCGGCTGGGCCCTGCGGTTTGAAGGGACAGGGGGCCAGGAAGGAAGAAGCAGAGGGAAGGGGGTCAGCTCAGACACTGGGTTCTGGCTGGGGGCTAGGGTGGGGAGACCTAGGGCTGGGGACCCCTAGGTCGTGATGCTGGGCCCTGCGTGGATTAATTAGAGGGATGCTCTACGTGGGTGGTCCTTGGTCAGGCTGGGCCATCTGAGGACGGCTGGGCCATCTCTCTGGGCCTCAGTTTCCTCCCATGCCTCAGAGGACACCAGGCCGGTGAAGCAATGAGTTGGCAATGACACTGGGAACATCTCGGGCTGGGACCAGGACTGTGTCTGTCCAGCTCTCCAGCGCCCGGCACAGAGCCTGGCCCAGAGGCACCGTGGACGTTGGCTGAACTGGCCAGAAACGGGAAGCACTTGGGGAAGTTTATAAAACTGTGTGTGGGAGAGCGATATCCAGGGAGGGGCAATGGCATGCCAGAGGTCACCAAGCTCATTCAGACCACATACCCAGGTTTTCCCAACACCCAGAGGCCGGTTGGCTGTGAAAGAGGCTGAAGGGCCCCGACTGGGGACCCGTGGGTCTCCACCTTGGAGGAGGTTCCAGATGACAGAAGAGTGGCTGTGCATAAATCGGAGACCTTCCCAGAGCTGGAGGGGCCCTGGCAGCTGGTTGGGACCAGGGAGGGCTGCCCAAAGTCACGTAGTATGGATGTAGCCCCTGACTGGCTTGGCCGCCTCTCCGTGTCTGGGGCTCCTCTGCAGCCTCAGGAGTCCATGAAAAGCTCAAACCCCAGCCCCAGAGTCAAGCTGCAGGTGACTGGAGCCCAGATCTCCAAGGGGAGACTGAAGCCTGGGAGGCGGCGGGTGAAGGGTGGTTGCTGTGGGGAAGGTGCACCCTAGTCCTCCAGCGCAGGCCAACCACACTGTGGCTGCTGTCCTCATGGGGGTGATGGGGGTGGGGAGAATGGCACGTCCTTTCTCTGGACCTCAAGGTCAGGCACTCAGGGCGGAGGTGGCCAGGGCTCTTGGCAGCCGCAATCAATGATTTCTCTCCGCGCGGTCGCTGACCCCAGACTGCTGCAGCCGTGAGAGGGCCGGAGGACTTGGCTGGGGTAGGAGGGTGCAGATGGGGTGGGCTGCAGGAGGGGCCAGCTTATGGCCCCCCCAAGCCAGGGGGCCAGAACTCCCGAAGGCAGGGGTGGGGCTTGCTGTCAGGCCACGCTCCTGGGGCTAAAGAAAGCCCCCCACTCCTCCTTGCTTCTCTGCAGTCTTGGATGAGCCCTGTACCCCGCAGAATTTCCCCTGATTGTACCCTTGTTGGCCTGGCTCTGAATTCCAAGCTCCAGCAGACAAACCCCAGCCTTCTGCAAGGCCCCGAGACCTGGGCTGGGGGCAAAGGTTGGTGCGAGCGGGGGATGGAGGAGACTCAGGCCCAAGCCTGCCTCCTTCTGACTGTGCTGGGGGGACTGCGTGCCTTCCAAGCTGACCCAAGACCCCACCCCATTGGGCAAGTGGGTGCCCTGAGGTCTCTGGAGGGGAAGCGGCTCCAGGAGTCAGTGATGAGATGGGAGGGGTGACAGATAACTAACCCCAGGCCCAGCACGTCATGATCTGCTATCGATGGTGACGCTTTGAGGTCCTCTAACGTTCCAACCATCTCTCTAAAGTGGCTTCCCCTTTAGCGCTGGCTCGGAAACCTCAGGTGGCTCCCTGCAGCGGAGGGGCTCCGGTCCAGCTGCTACAGAGAGCCGGGGGCCTGGCGTTGTCCCTCTCCACGTGCTCCGGCCCCTGCGCTGGAGCATCTTGGGGCTGGTTTGAGGGGTCACTCCGCATTTTGGGGCATCTGTGAGTCTCCCATTCTGCTGTGTTCCACCTCTTCACCCCCAGCCCTCACGGCCAGCCCGATGAAGACTTGCCTGTCCCTCAGCCACCCCTCTTTCCCTTTGCCTCCACCCCTGCCTGCTCTGGGGTCCCGGATCTGGGAAAGGAATGGGTCGGGAGACTTCCAGAGAGTCCTTTCCCACGAGAGCCGAGCTCTGACCCCCGTGCTTA